CGGGAGGCCACGGCGGATCAGGGACCTCGGGAGGCCACGGCGGATCAGGGACCTCGGGAGGCCACGGCGGATCAGGGACCTCGGGAGGCCACGGCGGATCAGGGACCTCGGGAGGCCATGGTGGATCCTCCGTGGCCTTGGCTGGCTCGGCCACGGGTGTATGGCCCCCCCAAAAAAAATCTTCTTGGGGAAAACTAGGTATCCTTGTGGTCGCTCAAGAGGAGCGGGCACTGGAGGGCGCTCTGGAAAAACAGGCACTGGAGGGAGGTCTGGGGCTGGAGCCGACACCGTGCAGAACTGGGGATCAGGAGCCCTCCCCAGGCTTAACTGAGGGTCCGGAGCCCTCCCTGGGCCCAACGGGGAAATCAGGAGCCCTTCCCGGGCCTAACTGGGGATCAGGAGCCCTTCCTCGGCCAAACGAGGAATCAGGAGCCCTTCTTGGACCAAACAAGGAATCAGGAGCCCTTCCTGGGCTAAACGAGGAATCAGAAGCCCTTCCTGGGCTAAACGAGGAATCAGGAGCCCTTCCTGGGCTTAACTGGGGATCAGGAGCCCTCCGTGGGCTATACTCGGGATCAGGAGCCCTTGCTGGGCTTAGCTGGGGATCAGGAGCTCTTCCTGGGCTTGCCACATTAACGCTTGGCTGACTTGACTGGGGAACTGCCGGCTGCCTTGGGTGAGCTGCGGACGGTTCTGGCTCGGGACCGGACACTCCCCAGACACTGGAAGACACCTTCCCTCCAACTTAGCCCAGTGGTGTGTGGGAGGTCCACGGGGTGATGGTAGTTGGCCCCGAGCCAGAACAGCTGATTAACCGCGGCTAGCTTTCAGAACTCCCCGGTGTACTCGTAAAAGGGGAGATCCCGGTGAGCGAGGGCGGAGAAACACGCAGCAGATTGCATGCCGTGGGGAGAAACAGGGACAAAACAAAAAACTAAAAAAAAAAAAAACTAAAACGGGGAGAGGAGACACCGCTTACTTCTTGCTGAATCCCTTTGGGGTCCGGTCTTCTGTTACGGAAGGAGACTCACACAGAGGATTAGAAAAATACAAGGGTGATTATTTTCAGCAAGAGATGCAGATGGTACGGGCAGGTGAGTATTTGAGCTTTATATCAGTCTTTAAGGAAGATG